TTAAAGGCTTGGATAGCGGAGAGCCATCCACCGCACAGTCGCTCAAAGCTGGGAGGAAGAATTTCTATTTTTTGTTGTCAAAGTCAAACCTCGACGCTGCAAGCAGATGCTTCTGGCTCTCTGCAACTAACACATTTCCAAACCCTTCCACTCAAGGCTACCAAAACAAATGAGACAGCCAACCCACCCTCGTTATCCTCTCAGACAATCCGGAGGAGGAGATCACCACAACAGTAACTTGCCCAAGCACATAGCAAGTCTGTAGCAGAAAACTTGTCAGTGCAGCTACTTCCCCCAGTAACACATACCTGTGTCAGTAAAGCATACCCGACTCCCAGTGACAACCATCAGAGCTTTCCACAGCATTCCGTTTCAGTAAAGTACAGTACATAACGAAGCACTCTCCTACACTTACTATTTTACAGCCAAGCAGACCAGAGCTCTGGTCTTGGGTGCGGCACATCCTCTGTGTCGCATCACCACACACCTCGGGAGAAGAGCTGCCTTAGTTTCCAAGAGAAGGCAGCAGAATTCCCTGCTGCCCAGGAGCTGCACTCTCCTCCTTTCCCCCACACAGCTCCATAAACAATGGCTGCGAGCAGCTACTCCCAAAGTCACTTCTCGTCCCCTAGTTCTTAGTGCAGAAAGCCTGCTTGCTGTTGTACCTCCAGCTGTACAATCCAAGTTATTTTCCAGGAAAGCCAGAAGGGTTCAATACACACTTCAGCTCGCCGAGCAGCCAGTCATAGAAATTTCACTGCAACGCTCTCATAGCCCTGAGCTTAAAGCACAGCAAAGCTCACTGGTCAACACTGAAAGGCGTTTAAAAAGTTGTTGATTAAACCCCCGCTGCCTCGGTCTGTTACAATACGCTAGAAAGACTTCTCATTAACGCTGCCATAAATACACCAAGACAAGCATACCTTGAATCACCCGCCTCATCAAGACCAACGTTCAAAGGGATGAATTGCAGAACGCTTCCCTCCTTTGCTGTACCACATCTAACAGCTAAGGCCCGCACGCCAGGAACGCCGCTTGATGGGTTCACTTCACAGCACTAAACATCGCTGAGAACTGCCTCCTGCTGGGGGACCGCGTTCAAAGCGAGATGTCTTTTCTTCCCTCTGTTCCCCAAGTTCATTTTGTACCACCAAGCATTTCCACAGCAACGGGAAGAGGAAATTTGACTTCAGAAGCTGGAAAAGAGGTGAGGGTAAGAGGGAAGAGCACTGCACCCTGCCGCAGGCCCGTAACCATCGCTGCCCCCACGTGGGCCACGTACCAGCGTACTGCGCTCTCGCCTCCGAACGCCATGAAGTCACACAAACACCAAAGTTTTAGAGAAACATTTATTATAGGGTTGCAGAATTTATGCCAATATAAAGTCCCTTAATAAAACTCTCAAGTTCATCAACTGCAGGACACTAACCCTTCGTTATCTTTACACTGCAGCTTTCAAAAAAAGGAACAATGCTCTGACTGCAGTGCTAACGCTACTTGCTCATAAAAAGTTGATCTAAAAAGTTTATATAAGCCAGAGTAGTTTAAGTTTACAGCTACAGTCACATTCACAAGTGAGCTATACCAGAACAGATTATTGAAATAGGAAGTTACAGGATAAACCAATTCATAACCAAAAATACTGACAAGCTTTAAGAGCAACTCTATCTGAATCTAACAACCAAATACCACAAAATCAAACAAAGGTAGAAGAATTAAACATAAGCTCGGGGAAGGTTCCAAATATACATACGAATTCAATACAGTAATTGCACAAAATGAAAGAGGGTAGTGTTAGAGGTTTATGATCACTGAGGTTGGATTTTACATGCTTCACACATGGTAGTTAAAATAAACCTTTAATGATAGGCATCAAAAGGTTCTTTTTAGCCAGGATACGGAGTGCAGAGCTATTCTACAGAACCACACAAGATGTGCAAACCACAGATTATTACTATTAATCATTCTGTGAGTTAAGGTGAACAGAATTGGTTCCAGCCAAGAAATTGGTTAACTTTTATATATATATTTTTCTGCCATTCCCAGATTACACTAAATCAAACACATTCAACAGATAAACTGATATTAACCTTCTAAAAAAGAAAACCTTACTCATATTAACCTTCTAAAAAAAAAAAAAAACCCACCTTACTCAAATTTAACTTTTACATGAGACAACTAAAAAGTTATACCAAAGATCAAAGAAAGCTGAAATGGTGACTTTGTCTTTTGAAATACAAGCAATACACAGAAAATGCATAAGGCTTTTGATTATCACTGCACGTTTTAATTAAGAAGTCGACGTCTAATGCTCAGACTTCTCAATGAAGGTGTGAACTAGTCACCTCCCATCCAACACCCTTCACTGTTGACAGATCTTTGTTTCAACAACGAAAGAGTTTTCAAAGTGTCTGATTGAATGACAGTTCTCCACTGAACGTTTCTGCAGACCTGGGGACGAGAGAAGATGAGAGCCTAAGTAAAGCAGATCTAGAACCCAGCAGCAAGTATTCACAAGTTTTGTATCATGACAAACAGCAGCAAGATACAATCATTCAGCACATAGTGTTTCTACAGCCCTGACTTGCCACCTGAGCTTGGTATCAGTTTGTTTTCTATCAGAAAGCCTCCTTCATTTTCGGCATGATAACAACAAAAGAGGGGCCCACATACAAACACAGGGGGCAAAGCAAGCAAGCACTTTTTTTCCCCCAGTATTCACCATTTTAGTGACAGAAGAGACACCACTTGTTTATGGCAAAGTTTCTCATAGCCCTTCCTAACCACAAAGAAAAAGAAAGGCAAAAGTAGACTGAAATTGCAGGGAAGGAGTTTAAAAACTCATAAAAGGTACAGAAAACCTCCCCTAGTTCTTTACCAGCACTTCTCCCCACCCCATATGTATTAACATAGAGGGTGCTTCTATCCAGCAGCCTTCACTTTGAGAGCCCTGCGAGGATTTGCCACTCAGCTGATGATCTTACTGAAGTTTTTCCTAACAGTATTAAGTGATTTTCTCTATTTTGGGACACACCACCATTGGATCAGACACAGGCAGTTTACCTGTATCAGCTGTAAATCTTTACTAGGAGACGAGAATATAGCAGTCCTGCCATCAAAGACAAGCTGCTCAACTAAAGCACTTCAATATACAACAGCTAGAAAAGAAAGATTTATAGCTTGTTTAATAAGCAGAGGATTGTTCAGGGCAAGCAAGAGAATCTATCTATCAAAGTCTAGAAGCACTAGCTCTTAAACTAAACCCAGCAGGGCACTGCTTTAGTTTATAAAAGCTTAAAATACAAGTTGCCCTTCAATTCATCTCAATCTTAATGCCTGTACGAGCTAAGAAGTTTCCAGTGGGTATCTAACTGGGTACGTCACTGAACAGTCAGGACGACCTGTCCTGTTTCTCACATGCCTTCAGTTACAGCTCCAGGAACCGCTGCAGAACCTGGGGTTGCTTTGAGCTAACAGATGAACCCATGAATTCTACAAAATCTGAGGGCCAGCGCAGCATCAGCTAAATGAGAAGACTTCTCCACAGAAGTTACAGGAGTTTATCCATTTCAGTCTAACTATTTATGTGTGCATGGGTTGTGCACACAAGAAAGGCGTGCTAAAAATTTCATCTGGAAGGCAAGACAAGCCTTGGCCCCGAATAATTTTTTCCTCAGCAGCAGTCTTCCATTTGACTGGATTTCCCACCCCCTTCCTCCCCAAGGGCAAACAAGGTTAGTTACAGAATAGAAATTGTACCAAGAAGGATTCTAGTAAATGAATAATGCTTTTGTGCAAGTATCCTGTAGAAGTCTTTTACTATGCAGCGAAGATGTCAACAACACACTACAGCAAGACAATTTAAGGAAACATCATAAAACAGTCTTCGCAGTCTTCCGGTCACAGCAGCAGTCAATTTAGACTTGTTCACAACAGCTAAGAGACACATGCCTCCGCCTCCTGTAAAGGCAACGCTTGCTGTTTCTTCGTGTGCCCTACACTGTTAGCCACACAGGACCAGTTTTATGCTCCCACATACAGAGCCTTCCATCTAGTAAGAAGATGTAGTCTCTAGCAAACAGCAGATGTGGCTCGTGATGCTGCAAGCTGTAACTGGGCTGAGGAAACTCTTGCCTAAGAGCTTGGCAGGAAAACCAGAGCAGAGAGTTCTGACAAGCCAAACATTTGCATTCTGAAAGGCTGTAACCGACAAAGGATTAGTTCGCTACTTGTTTGGCGAGAGCAGCAAACTATGAAGTGCTTTGAGAACTACAGTGAAGTAAAATTCATGGCATCAGATTTCTGTACTCCAGGCCTCCTTCCAGTATGTCAAACCACTGACACCTCAAATTCCATCCTTTTCACAGAATGGTGGGGGGGCACGAGGAGACAGGCAATAAAGAAACAGAGCTCAGAAGTTCCTATGAAGCATTCTTCCTCTTTCAGAGAGGAACTCTGGGATGTCCGGAGCTAGTTGTTCAATTTTTTTTTTTTTCTTTCCCCCCCTCAGAGCAAGTGAACCAGAAGATAATGCTTTGACTTGGTGCTCCTCTAACCCTGTTCTAGATAAGACAGTGACAGACTAAGCTGCACCTACAGAGACTCACATTATCAGATGGATTATATGAGTTTTGGGGCCAAACTAACTTACAGATTCAACCAAAAGCTGGAACAGGAATTGGCTTGGGCATGTGACCTCTAATTCCAGAACTGAAACTCTCTCTCACCATGTTCGAATGAAACTTCAGATAATACTGACATACTTGAAAGTAGCCTCGGCTCAC